TATTTTCCTTTATGATTAAACATTATAATAACTTTTATAAGTCAAATTTATCTAGTATATATATATACTAGATAAAAGTTCGAGGTTTAATGGAGGAGTTCTCGCAGTAATACAATCTATTTTGTGAGGCTCTATAGGTTTAAAGTAGTATTTCAACGTCAAATTATAGGAGATCAAGTTTTAAAAGAGGAGTTCTAGGTTCTAATTCCGTAAAAATAGGTTCATATAGGCTGTATGAGCATTAAAAGAGACGCTAAATTTCGACTCGGGATGGAATACTACATTATAATTGATATTATATTTTTCTTGTAGAATATAAAAGAATATGAAATTAGAATAAATATAAATTCTAATTGCGAATCAATTCTTTTTATAATTTAATTTTTAATACTGATGTATGATTAAGTGCATATATTTTACATAAGCAGAGAGATTTTCCAATCTACCGCTGAATTATATTTTCTATGAATACATTAGCAAAGGTACAAATTATCAAAATGCTGTAATTGTAATATTAATTTTTAAAGTAATGCACAGCTAATATTTGAAAATGTGCAAAAATTTAATTTGTTTATTCGCAGCTCAATTAACGTCAGTCGCGAATAGACTACGCAGCGTTTCCCTCTCTGTGATAGTATATACGGATACGATCCGCGTCGATATACCGCGGAAAAGTTTAGTTGTTCCGTCGCTGTCAAAAGTTTCGACGTTTAGTGTCAGATATCCGCAATTATCTACGAGCAATTTCGCACGAAATAGAGATCGTAATTAATGATCGTTATTTTGCGCGCGGACAGGCAGCGGCAATACTTCATAAAATGTTCAAACAACGCCATATCGTACACTCCCGGCTGCCTTTCGCCCAGTACTTTAGCCCGAATATTTTACAAATCAAGCGCTACATTTTTTATACATCGCGCAGATATATAACAAAAGTCATAAAATGCGATTCGACAAACCACATATCTCCCCCTAATCGATAGATTTATATGTATGAACGTTCGACAAATCATACGGGACTAACGCGAACAAACGGTCGGCGTGGATTTTTGGGGACGAGTCGCACGCGCGATGGCTCACATTTGCCGGCATGAGCTATCCTTCCAATACGCGACATATCGTCACCACCATGACGCTCGCTTCCGCACGCGAGATTCAATCTAGCCGCGGCCGCACATGTCCACATCTCATATCCGATATTGGATTAATTTACATCGCGAGCTCGTTAATCGGCGAGAGAAAAAAATAATCCGCCGCGAAATAGAATGAAAAAGCAATCTTCGCCTGGGAACGACGCGGCTTAGCCTCTTGATTGCTCGTTGACTTGGAAAATCAACTGTACAAATTGGCATGGTATATACGCGGCTGCACGCACACGCGCATACCACGCACCACACGCGCCCGCGTCATTTTGTTACACCTACGCGCACACCTAAATAATATAACGTACGTTAACGCGCGACAGAGTGCGTCGCTTCGGTAACGCGACTGTTTGCATATTAATTCCAGTCGTGTGGGCTAAAAATCATCAGAAATATGGCGGAGATAAATATAAAATTATACCGACAAACGTAATGAACACGATGCGCCGGAAACTGCGCCACATTTTAATGTTTAATTGGCGCATGAGCGGCACGATGAAAAATGAGTAGCGTACATTCGAATTATACAAAAAATCCTTTCGATCGGGTAAATAATACCGTACGCAATACGCGCGGGCTTGTCGCATTTTGTATTAACGTCGATGAATCGTTATTGCAATGCAATTGTTTGATTGCATGCATAGATGCAATAAATGATAAATTGCGCTCATCTTTTCCGGAGTAGATGAGACAAAATATAATTATAAAAGTCGTTCCATAAATGTGAATATTTAGAATCAATAGTTATAGTTTATATAAAAATAATATATACAAGGTATCTCAAACCAACAGATGATACAACGTATGATACAACGATGATACAACGTATCATCTGTTAATAGCAGATTCTTGAGGTCAGAAATCTGCTATTAACGGATGATTCAGTTAGTCCGAGATACTTTGTACACTTTATATTTATATTTTTAAATCTGTTCTTTTAATGATATTAAAATAAAATGAATCAATAAATTGAATCGACTTACCGGGACGATGTGCAGCAGCGGAGTTCACATGTCGCGAGTGATCTGTAACATATAAAATATATCTAAATTAGAGCAGTGTTTAAAATAATTAATGTAAAAAAAATTATTACACACACTAAACTTTTACTCTTCTCTCTTTTAAGCAAATATCTAATAAAAGAATCATATATTTGTATGTATTGTGTTTATATGTGATAATTTGTAAAGTTTAAAATTTTTAAACTGCTGTATAACTCATCAATAGAGGTATTTATCATTTTTTAAATAATAAATAATACTATAGCAAACTAATATTTTTTTAATTCTATCATTTACATTATTCTAGGAAAAAGCAATTTCTATTTTATTTCTTAAAATGATAATAAATAAATGAGGTAGTCATTGGTCAAAAATACCGTTGCTTATCGCGATTTGCCTATCTGGCTAGTCATTGTTGTTTAAGTATTTAAGTTAAGTTTGCGCAGTTGATTGTCAGTGAATCTCTTACGTGTGACCTGCACACACTACAGTATAAAGCACAGGTAAAACACTACAGGTATGTTTTTATTAATTAATTTACTTATTGTATGAGCTATTGTGTGTATGTTAATATTATATTATAGCTGAACATTTAATTCTTTATATATGTTCAACATTTTGAACTAAACTGTCAAACACAGTCCTGAATCAGGATGTACGAATATTTGAACACGATAAGTTCGCTTTGAATTCAAATTTAGTACAATTTCATGTTAAGGTATTATTTATTCCATACGTATCTGTGTTATAAAATTTTTTTATTTTTACATCTCAAATTCCGCTCTAATTTCAAAGAAACTTGTAAAAAAGATAACAAATATCGTTCTGTGAACACTATAAACATACTTTTTAATCTTTAATGAAACATTTTTAATCATAAAACTGTAATACGAGTCATATTTTCGCGTCCGTTCAATTTTATGAATTTTTATTTAGTAAATTAAACAATTCTCTATTTGATGTGATGTGAAATCAGTCTTTAGTGGAAACTGTATTCAAGATCATAATTTGCGCCGCAGTTTCTGAAAGTTTACTCTAGTAACTGTCTAACAACTATGATACAAGGTAAATCTCTATAAAGTCTCTACACAAACTGAAAAATAAGATGTTATATATTCTTGAACCTCAAGATTTACAAAACATTTTCAAGAGTTTTAACCCCCAAAATAATATCATAATTAAGCTATTATATAATATAATATTTGTTAACGCAATTTGTGTTATACAATATCACAGTTCTATTTAAAGTACAATCGATTGCAATAAATTATGTGACTAATATTTTAATGTCAAAGCACAAAAGATTTTTTATTGTGTTCTGACGTATCATGCCGGACGGTGTCTGCACGTAAAATTGTTGAGTCCGTTTCTTGTTATATTAATTTTATTAATTATTATTGTTGTTTGCATGTTTGAGATATATTGGATCCAATTATTTATGCAAGTCACTGATAGAGTGTGATTTTCACAGTGTTAAGAAACATCGGCATTATTTCTCTTATCTTACATATTGATTTCATTTCAATATATTGTTGTAACAAAGATTTTATTTTTGCACAAATAGATGCATCACAAAATGAAGTTTAGTTCAGTGATACTGGTTTTCACATTAGCCATAATAGTGGTCACGGCAGAATCGTGGGAAGTCGTAAGTAATTGTGCTAAATAATAGATTTACTTTCATTTTGCAATATCTTAATCATTTTTTTTCTTTAAGTTATATCGCATATAATAGTGAAGAATTAGATCAGTTTTGAATTTTACAAAATTATTTAAAATTGCTATAAAAATATGATGCAAATATCAATTTTTTTCAAATAAATGTGTTAAACTTCTTTAAAAAATGTATAAATCTACATAAATCAATCTCAATATTTCATCATCAATATTTATTTGGAATTTATTTTAGAAAAGAATCTAATAAATATTATTCTACTAATATTCATATGACACTTTATTATACTATCAAAACTGCTAGATCATGTCAATATCTTATAATATATAGTGTGATAATGATAGTATAAATTAGTTTTTTTCAGATAAGAAAAACACGTAATTAGCATAAATAGCTAATTACATTTCAAACCTTGAAACTATAAATGTACGGTGATACGTATATTCTTATCTTACGCTTTAACATTTACATTTTACAATGTTTTATTTATTTTCTAATCGCAAGATATATATATATATATATATCTCTTTTTTTATATATCTTTTTATATATCTTTTTAATATATATATATATATTAAAAAGCTTCACAAAATTATCAATGTTTAATCAGTGCAAAATATTCAGACGCAAAGTTTTTTCCATCATAATAAATATGACAGCCATAAATTAGTATCTTTATTTATATTCTATTTTTGCCATAATTCTTTCATGCCTTTTCTATAGTAATATTGTATTTAAATCGCGCTAAATATATTGCTAACGAGAAAGGTAACCCGATGCAATACAGAGATGAAGGAAGATAAGTATATCGCGCGGTGGTGATCGATATTGCTATAAATAAAGTTTCTTCGATCTCATATGTGTCGGCTTTTCCGGCGTCAGCCTTTTCTTGTTGAAGAGATAAAAGTCCGTAGTCGTAGAGAGAGAGAGAAAGAGAGAGAGAGAGAGAGAGAGAGAGAGAGAGAGAGAGAGAGAGAGAGAGAGAGAGAGAGAGAGAGAGAGAGAGAGAGAGAGAGAGAGAGAGTAGACGGAGAGAGTCGAGGTAGAGAGAAGGTAGAGTAGTAGTAGTAGTAGTAGTACGTAGTACTAGAGTAGTAGTAGTAGAGGTAGAGTAGAGTAGAGAGGGAGAGAGAGAGAGAGTCGATCGGCGGGGGTGCATTATAACTGATATAAAATGGATGCTTCGAAGTTCCGTCTATTACATCTCTTTTATTCCGCGATATTAGCGTTTTTCGCCCCCATAAATGCGTTATTGCTGCTGAAGCTGCACAAGTGCAGAGAGCGTTGTTATAATTCAATCGAAAGTATTGCGAATAACAACATTTATATAAATCGCATAAAATTAATTTGAAATGCTCGACAACTCTGCAAACTTTTATACATAATATATTATGTGTAATCTACTAATTTCTTTTTTTTAGATCGACGAGACTTTGACAAATGACTGTAAATCAAATGAATGGATCTTGACAAATACGACAATCATATGGAAGAATGACACAAAGCATATCTACGCTGGCATTACTTACAACAAAGTATTAGATTGCTAACAATTACATTGACATTGGCTTTACATAAACAATACACAATCGTGAAATAAATGATAAATATGTGAACTTGAATTGGCAATTGCACATAATAATTTTACATACAATGCTATTTATAAAATATTTTATTTTAAGATGTGTAGATATTTTAATTAAAATGTTTTTTAGCCTGGGGGTCCAATATACAAGATATTGATCACGATGGATTGCAAAAATTACACATGTTCTACACCACGAATATACGTTATAAATATTGACTGCAGACCTAATAAGATTGAGGATCTACCTGAATCGGATAAGTACGCTTGTATGGTTGCGGAGGTAATCTATTTTCATAATTATTAATAGATATTGCAAGACATGAGTTGCACGCGAGAAGGAGTACGCGTACATATCAAATTTTTAAGCCCTACACAATTTAAGCCGTTACCTTCTTGCACACGATCGCAAATAGAAAAAGTTAGATTTTCGAAAAAGTTGCACGCACGGTTCACTTTTTCGACTTCGCTGAATATTATCATGTATGACTTGCGACGCGCTCACATCAGTGACGTCACATAGAAGCGGGCTGCGACCGACTGTCAACGGCGCATTTACATGCATACATTCTAGCTCTGTCCTCACGTTGCATATGCCGTGTATTAACACACGAACAATCGGGTGTACACGAAATTTACGCGCGTGCGCTTAATGCGCTTGAGTGAGAGGAAACTAGCGTGAAAAGCTGTTTGCTGAGTCCTATTGTTGTAGACACACGGAACCGCGCACGTATTAAATATTACGTATGCATACACAATGGCACAGGTGTAACATGCACTAATCAGAGGCATATGAGTAGACGGTATATACATTCAAACAACTGTGTTCCCAATGTTCATAAGCCGATATACTTTTTGCACTTATAAACATTTTGTCGAATAAATAGAGTATAATATAATAACACATATATGCATAGAAACAAATATAAATGATGCAACATATGTATGGTGCACCGATACATAATGCGCCATCATTCATTTCCAAATATTTTGAACAATTTAAAATTAATTTTTTTCTTCTAAATAACACTGTCCAAACTTTTGTATAATTATTAATTAAAAAATTGAACATAAAAAAATTTTTTATAAATTTAGCTTTAAAAGTCTATTAAATTTGGCTTCAAAAGTCTATTAAAAGACAAAATTTTATTTAAATTTTGAGTATATTTTGCTAATACAAAAAACAAAATTTCTTTTATATAATCTTGTATTTTTAAAATGTTTTAATTTAAAATTCAATATTTTTTTTACTTTATAGGAAGCGGGAAAGCGAGAACAAGAAAAAGAATGGTTGACTAATCGATATCAACTAATGGGAGAAAAGCTGTTTGACATAATAATTTGTATTAATTTACATCATATACAGATAAAAGACGACAAGGATTTAGAATCGACGGAATCATCAAAATCATCGGAATAAAAAGAAGTGCGGAGTCATCGGATTAATATAACAATCACGCAAAAATTTATTTTTACAGCATATTACATCTTTTACCATTAATATAATTTAATTAAACAGTATACAATTGCTATATCAGAAATGTGCTACTAATATGCATTTGATTACATTAATATTTAATGTTAAAATTTTAAAAGACTAACTTTTCTGTGCACCAAATTAGACATGTTAAAATAATTTGCTTTTAAATTCTTTGCGTTCAAAAATGATGCATTATCTGGAAGAACAGATATTTGATTTTACAAAATTTACTCTAAAAGTCAATCAACCATTATAATTGGATAATTACGAAACGCTACTCCTCAAAATTTAAATGCTTCAAGAGTATCAACGATGACTCCATAAGCACTTCGCAGAAAGTGAAAGCACTTTCACGAAGACCCTTGTTGATGTATAACATAAGTTGTAATACACTTAATCTATTAATGATTTGTACAACAATTTAATAAGAAACTTTATCTTAATTAATTTTATAAAAATTAAGACAATAAAATCACAAATGAAGTTTTGAAACTGAAATTTGCTGTAGTCGAAAAAACGCTTTATAATAAAATTAGTATGATACAACTTATATGTAAAATAAAAGGGCTTTTGTAACAAATAATAAATAAAGACACCTAAGACAGCGAAACGAATAGATTCTACTAGAAATCTCTGCTTTATTTCTTTTCCCAATAATTTTTGATTATTCTAACGTTACATGTACTTTAAATTGTGTACCAACTTACAAGCACTTGCGCTTATCTTTGCCGCTTGCAAGACAGGCGGCTTGTTTCTACGGGATGAGTCGTTGGTTTAGTAAGCACCGCAATGCAACCGTAAGGCTAATTCGCAGTTAACAATCGTGCTGCAACATTGCTCGATGTTCGACTCTAGGCTATAGGAGTACCTGGTGGTATCATTAATTAATCGCGAATGTATCGAAATATCCTGAACCGCCGTCGGATGTAGTTTGCGCGCCTCGAGCCACCTGCCGTGACGAGACAGCGTCTGTCAACAGTAGGGAACTTCAAGGGTTTCGGCAAGTCGAAGGGGGTGGTCGGGACGAGGAGCGGTGGATGTTGGTTACAGAGCCCGAGCACGCGCTTAAATATTAACAGTGTACTCAGCGGATACATTAGTAACGCCGGAACGACTTGTACACACGGTAGGAAATCTCTTGGTTTTACCCACCGTCGAAGATGGGTGTCTGTGAATCGGTCGCGGTGGCGTAGAAGGCGAACGTCAAAGAGATGCCGATTAACGTCGTTAATGAGCGCGAAAACCACTTCGCGTAACGCTGAAGACGAGGCGAATAATTGCATCTGAGAGAGATTTCCTTATACGATTAGACGGCTCTGCTTTGAGTAATAAATTGAAAAATATGTATGTGGTTTACAGAAATTTTAAAAATTCCTAAACAGAGATTTCGCCTATAACAAAAGTCACGCGTCTAAAAACAATAAGACATAGTGTAGTCTTGCACAAATTTTATATCGCTAAATAAAATTGAGACACGCACACTGCATTAGGATATTTTTATTCTTTTCGATTACTACGACTGTCAACCTATCTTTGCGCATTAAATTAATAATATCGAGCACTCATCAAAGGATACTTTGCATAAGCGAGATACGTATGAGCTAAAATTAACTTAACGCCGTTACGGTCGTGTAATTCAAAATGTACACAGCGCGCATACATAGCGTACGCGTCACGTATTGCGGGTTTCTTTTTCAAAGGCCGCCGTGGCAATATATTCGTGCGTCTGTGAAAAGCGCGCAACGGTCATAACGTGTGTCATTCAAGTATCCCCGCAAAAAGGCTGATCTAAAAAGCGAGTCTCTACGCAGCGCAGCCCGTTTCACGATCACATCCCCGCAATGAGCTCGCGCCGGATGAGATTAAAGCCGTCGTGGACTCACTGTATGTAACTCGGGTAGACGCGTCGTCCTTGCCAATAGCATTCACGTTTCCGCGTCCGCGTGAGCCGGGAGCGGAAATAGGATGAAAGTGGAAAGATTAAAAGGGGCGGCGGGCTTAATGAGACAGCCGGTTGTTTCGAAGCGCGGGCAACGGATACTCTCCGGTTCAAGTATTAATGAAATCGATACCGACGCCGGATAATGATCAGCTAACGATTTCAACGGTGGCGTCTGAAAAATGTGCGTCCTCTCCCCTTCCACGCTCGCCGCTTTTGTTATAAACGCGAATAAAAGCGCGAGCGCGTTAATTGCTCGATGACGAAGCGATATGGCCCTCCGTGATCGATGAACGAGTTCGAGAATTTTGTCGTGGGATGGGCTGCATCTGCCCATCACAAATTTATAGCTCTAATGGCCGACGGCACGATAAACGCTACGAACAAAACGTAAGGAACGGGAGGTGTATACGATATTGATGAATCGGACAGAGAAAGAGAGAGAGAGAGAGTGGAAATGATGAAATTCAAATTGAATTAAACTAAACGGGTGATATTAAAAGTATTTCCTCGTAACGGGATATTTTACGCTTTATCGTTCACTCTTAACCGATCGCAGTGCATTTTCTGTCTGATGTAGTAAAAATCGAAACACCTGCCATTAATCTCTCCAGCAATAATTTTTTTATCGCTCCTAGTTCGTTCACCGACCGTCCTATCCCCAATTCCATATTCTTTATGTCGCATGTCCTGATTTTTATTAGTCGTAATTCTCCCGCTATAGCGATGTATACGAACTATCAGCGGTGATTTAATGACACCAGTGTTTGTCGTTTGCTTTCGATCACGTTGAAAGGCATGCGAACCGATTTGCGAATGATGCATGTGGTCGCAAATGCCGAATTAGATCTGAAAATGAGGTCGTTGCCGATGCAACTGACGTTCTCGTTATGTGTGACGCCGGCCAGCGACATTACGTCGCGCGTAATCGGATTTACAATACTTTGTATAATATGCGGATTAGTCCAAACATTTGCAGTCGCACACGGGGAACTCCCGCCACCGGGAACGCTGCAAATTACGCGATATTCCATTACTATGCGCATAACGTTGATTTAGAAAAGTCTGTCGCGCGCTTATCCCGCTGCGAAAATACAACACGCGCGCGTATTACATCAGTCGAATGGATGTGAAAATATGACTGATTGCTATTTTTCGCGATGAACAATGTCGCATGTAGGTCTATGCCTTTGACTCATCTGTGTCTGCGCGTGAAACAGCGCGATAATCTTTCGCATCGTTGAGTTTCCAATTTGCAATCACGATCCGTCGCGCCATGTAATATTTGCCACGAATGTGAAACAACCATCGTAATGAAAAGTGCTTTGGTTTGCTAGAAAAGCATGAGGGGAAAAAAAAAACAAAAAGTAAAATAAAGCAGTCGTACGACTGAAGATACCTATCGGTGCTCCGCTGACAATTATTGACTTCGAGTGGAAGAGAAGAAAGATAAAGCCAATATCGTCGATACAGTCGAATGGAGAGTCATGCGGTCCAGTGAACACCCGACGATCTGTAACTTGCGGCCGGAAAAACCAACAGTTTAAACGGCGCCGATAGACACTAGCGCTCGTGCAACCGGCGAGCCAAATTATTCGAAAAATAACAATTGCAAAAACTAACAACCAAACCAAAACAAACGAACGCGCCTGTTCTAACAACGCTTTCCACCTCTAGTCTCGGAGTTATTTCCTGAAAGAATCGCGATTGGGTTTGAAACTTCTCGGTGAATAAAAACACTCAGCGAACATATAATTTGATTACTTTTTTTTTTTTTTTTTTTTGTCGAAAAGGCAAAAGATAAAAATAAAATTTCTGTCGTCGAGATCTGTCGTCGAGCTCAATTTTTCGGTAGCCCGACTCGATGAATGGAAAAACTTTTTCCTTTCGAACTTTTTTTTAATCAAATCTGGCTAAAAATCTTTCGCAAACAAGACGGAAAGATGTGAAAGGCGAAAAATGCGGGTGTCGTGTCCGCAACGACGCAACGGTGTCGTCGTGCAAATGCAAACAGATGCAGGCAAGATCGAACGAGCGACTCTTCAGAAACGGGTGTTCCCGAAAATATTCGCAAACGAATTCGCGTGTACGGCTTCGTAAGGATGAAAGTTGGCTGGATTTTCGAGTTCGACCATTATCTACATCGGACCTCTCGAACTGTTTGCCTAGCATACGTATGCGCGCGCGTACGTCCGCCGCCTACGCATACACATCGCCCCCTCTAACATACGTGCTTGCGAAATACGCGCATACGGGTAGACAAGGGGGATACGGGGATGCAAATATTAATGATCGGTCCCCAATGAACTAGGAATACATAATGCCTATTTGCATGACACCCCCGCGCGCGCCGCGCCGAGCTTAGTTAATCATTCGCACGCTCTGATGTTTGCCGAATTCGCATTGCGCGTACACGCACGTTCACAAATCACTCGGGCGGCGGCTAATAAATCGATAATTGTTGTTTAATAATTTATGGAATAGTTAAGAAGAATTGCCGCCGCGGATAAGGTTTGATTAATCCGATCGATGGACCTGATATTTTATTTTATTTTTTTTACCGCAACCGCGATTCGGTTTGGTGCTCGAAACGCGTTGTAAATATTTGGATATGTAAATAACTGAATCTGCATATCTCTGTAGCAATTTTAAGATATTTTTTTATACAAAGTTTATCGTTGCGATAAAAAAAAAGTTTCATTAGGCTGTAAAGCGATATAAAAATGAATCAAATTTTGTTTAGACATTTAATCGGGCGTACAAATGAAATATTCCAATAAAATATTTTACTATTTGAATATTTGAATATTTCGAATATTTAAAGTTTTGAATATTTCATTGCAAAATACGTAAAAAAAGATAAAGATTGACGGCGTGACCATCGGCACAACCATGGCTCTGCATTTAAAAATCCGTGCCACATGTGGGTGCAAAGTGCATCCATAAAAAGTTGTCGGCGTATTTTACGGCGCTTTACATAACAATTATTTTATAATTCAAAAGTGGCGTTTTGAATTCCCCGTTAAATATATGTGTATGTGTGTGCTTTATTTATATGCCATCGTGTCCGAAGACTCGACGGCGGACGTATATACATTGAGCGCGTACGTGTAGAATTTTAATTGGTTTGCCGCCATCCAATTAATTCTGTTTCAATATTTCTGCTTCGGAGTACAACATTGCGTAACGTTGAGTGCAATTATTGAAAGACTTTTCGGCATAGCCTGAACGGATTCTCTAAATCATTAAAGCGGACACATTTATCGATGTGTGTATTTCTAGAAATATGAAAAAGAATGACGTATCTCTTTATGCCAATATTGTTAGACTATAAAAACTATGTATCTGTTTTGCGCCTTGTTCATATGTGATAAAAACAAATATATTTATTTAATAATAAGCTATTGGTTAGTTATTAATACTAATACAGTATTAGTATTTTATTAATATATTGCACTAAAGAAAAAGCTTTATATTTCCTGCTTTATATAATTCCGGAAAAATAATAGCAATTTAAATAAATAGAAAGGAAAGTAAATACTCTCCAAGCTCTCGATTGCGGAGGTAGAAAAATCCTCACGAACGATGTATTCGAGGAACGAGCGGTATTTTCTCAAAGCTGAACGAAAAGACCGTGAGCTCGTCGTTGCCGTCGTATCTGAAGAACTCCGCGAACGGCGGAGCTAGGCAG